AGAATGAGGGTGGCGGTCGAGAACCTTCATCGACAATGTGCCACCTTGAACAGCTTAGTAGTCGTAGACGCCCTGGCCCTCATTGCCCATACTTACAAAGAAGTCACAGACGCGAGGAAAGAGCAACAAAGCTGGCAAGCGGGCCGAGAGGATAAAGCCATCCTGGACTGGATTACAACGGCGGACTATAGCAGGCACTGGCCAGTGGCTTCTGAACTCGGCAGAATACCAGCAGTGGACCGAGACGTCACAGCAGACTCTATTTTGCTCTGGCATCCCTGGAGCTGGCAAGACAATTCTTACATCGATCGTCATTAACGACCTCTATACTCGGTTCCGAGATAACGAGCACGTCGGTATCGCATTTCTATCCTGCAACTTTCGATAGTAGGCGAAATAGAAAGTTGAAGATCTACTATTAAGCCTGCTAAAGCAGCTATCCTAAAATCACACATCCCTGCTAGAGTGCATCAGAAGTCTATACAGCAAGTATATAGGTTAGCCTCGGCCGACCCTCAAGGAACTATCTAGAGCCCTGCAGGCTGTAGCGAGGATCTTTTAAAGACCTTCATTGTCGTCGACGCTATTGATGAATATCAGCTATCTGACGGTAGTTAATATAGGTTTCTTACAGAGGTATTCGCGCTGTTAACTATGTCTAGTGCTAGCTTCGTTATAATATCGAGATATACTTAAAACATTCCCGAAATGTTCAAGGATAGCTTATCACTGGAAATTCGAGCGCATCCGGAAGATATCCGGAGATATCTCGAGTGTAACATGGCTCACATGCCCTCATATATCGATCGGAGTCCAGATTTACAGGCTGAGATTATAGCCAAGATCGTTCAGACTGTGGCTGGAATGTACGATTATGCCCCCTTCGATCTCTAGGGACTTTGCTAAATGAACCAGGTTCCTTCTTGCGCAACTGCATCTCGACTCCTTGAAGGGAAAGAGATCCCCGAAGCTGTCCGCTCGGCTCTGACCAAATTGCACGCCGGCTCTCAAGCATATGACCTTGCGTACGATGATGCGATAGAGCGCATTAAGGGCCAGCGCAAGGACGAGGTGGAGCTCTCGAAGCAAGCTCTGTCGTGGATCACCTGCGCTAAGCGGCCGCTTTCCACAATAGAACTCCAGTACGCGCTTGGTGTTGAAGTGGGCGAGACAGAGCTAGACCTCGACAACATCTCACAGATAGAAGACATGATGTCTGTTTGTGCAGGACTGGTCACGGTGGATGAGAAGAACAGTGTCATCCGCTTAGTGCACTATACTACGCAGGTATATTTCATGCGCACGTGGAAACGATGGTTTTCAAATGCACAGACGGAAATGACAGATGTTTGCGCTATATATCTGTCGTTCAGCTTCTTTGAAGTAGGATTCTGCCGTATAGATACCGAGCTCGAGGACCGGTTACGACTCCATCCTCTCTACGACCACGTCGCCTACTTCTAGGGTGGCCATGCTCGAGAGGCTGGAGAAACTTCTCAGTTAGTTTTTGGTTCACTTCGAAACGAGAAAAGTATCGAGGCACAGGTTCAGGTTCTATGGGTGGCCCAAGGGCTACAGTCACGAGGATACAGCTAGTGGTTTCTAAAGAGAATGCGAGGGCTCTATATGACGGCATATTTTCGGATAGAACCAGCCGGGAAGGAATGATTGAATGGCGGCGACAGACCAGACATGGAGGACAGTTATGGCCGGACGCCGCTATCGTGGGCCGCGGGGAACGGACGCGAAGCGATCGTCAAGATGCTTCTCAACAAGTAACAAGTCGACATCAACTCGATGGATGGAGATGGCCGGACACCACTATTGAGGCCACTATGAACGGGCACGAGGCAGTAGTTAATATAATTTTCGATAAGGTACAAATGGGCATTGACTCGGGGGATAAAGACAGCCGGATGCAACTCTAGTAGGCTACTGCTCACGGATACGAGGCAGTTGTCAAGTGTCAGGTGGCCCTGCGAATTCACCGAATATAGGGCTGATTAGGGATTTAAGGACTACGAGAGCGTACATATAAAGACAGCGGAGAGCCCTCCAAGCTGCGGAGTTCCAGAATTCATATATATTATAACCCTTTACCTATTATCTATTGCCTGCGGACTACGTATAGAAGACCTCTTCATTCTGCCTTAAACTAAGCGCTAAATCAAGTTACTTTCTACGTCAAATTCGAATCTTGATTTATAAGATGTATACAGCTTGACCACACTACAACTATCGGCTTTCAACGGTAGCGATGACGTGGAGGAATTAATATCAGCACACAATACCCCAGTTGTATTTGAATCCAATGTCTGCAAAGTCTATTCCTACCTATTCCACAAGGCAGACTTCTAAATACTTGTTGAAGCCCAAATAGTACTGTATGTAAGCTACGTAGTAGTGGACCTGATGTTATATATTCTGTTTAGCTGGCAGATAGGCAGACGAATGTGGAGTATTCTCACTTGAAATGAACGTCAATCTCAGGAGGAAGGGAGTTATATGCTTGTGTGGATACGTAGAGTAGAGTTCCACATCGGACATCCCGTCTCTTGCTTGCATGACCATTTGAAACAATCAGCTGGTAAGCTCCGGAGACCCTTGCTTTGCCTACCGTGTCTGACCATGCTCCCAGCGACGTGGTTCGCCCGCGATTTATATAGCTCCGAGGTGCATACAAGTGAAATGAGTCACGCAACAGAGGCCATGTTCGATACTCAGTCGGCTTACATGAGACATACGATATCATTTGTATCAGCTGCTCAGTAAATCTACACAAAAACGCTCATAACGCCATGATTATCGTGACCCCTTTCTTCCCGGGTCAACGTGACGAGGCATGTCCAGTTTCTGCCACTCTGGGGCCTGGATCCTGTTGCCCCCTCCAAGCTCTGTCTCCCTCCTCCAAGACCACATGCCCTTGTACCCGCTTGCCGTCGCCAACGTGATTCCGCAGTAGTACCATTCAACCCTCCGGAAAGTAGAAAAAAAAGAGATCCCATTCGATGGGAGCCACTATGTAAATGCTTCATGCCGTACGCCGCTGTGCATGCAATGCCTCCTTTGCCTGGTGGTCGACGCAAAAAACCGAAGGGAAAGTAAGGGTGAATGAAGTCTCGAGGGACGACAATGCTGAACCAAGTCGTATCTTATTGATGGCTTCCTCATGTGAGGGAATGGCCATGGCTCGCGTAGTAATGATGAAAAACAAAGCACGTTTCCGTGTGCTGAGGACTGGTTGATTTGGTTGTTGGGAATTAGGGTATCGTTGAGTAGCCGGAGCGGAGGAGGGCAGATTGATCGAGAAGTCAAAACGAAGAGGTTGTGGAGGCAGGAGATAGGCGAGATAGGTCGCATCAGAGTGCAGCTTGCCACTTCGCTGTAGATTGTGAGCGAGGTTTACAGCGCTGGTCGTTCAAGCTTTCCCCAGAGCTCATCAAG